CCCCAAAACCCCAAAACCCCAAAACCCCAGGATACAGAAGTGTGATTGGATTAAGGGTTGAAATTAAGTAAATAATTATATTAAGATATTAATGGGAGGTTGTGCTGCATGTTTTGGAACACAAAATAATGAATTCCAAGACGACAAGTTTGATCCTAAATAAGCAAATCTTATTTCCAATCATTATAATCCAGAGCCAAGTCCATCAAAATCTAGTCATAGTTTTGTAATTAAATAGACTTACGATGATTGTATATTTTTAGGATAGACTAAATACTAATAATTAATACCGAAAAGAGAGTATAAGAGTTGACTGGTGGGAAGATCCTAATGAAAAAAGTTAAACTAATCAGAAATCTAAACTACAAATTATTAGTAAGAAAGTTAATTACCATTTTTCCTAAATAGAATTCGATTTTATTACTGTCTTATCATACTTTTATTTTAGATGAATCCTTAGTTTCATTTGAGTAAAGTAGAAGTAAAGAGATACAGTATTTATTTCACAATGCAGGGCTTGAGGATTTTGAACCAATAAAAGTAACACTAACTAAATTTAATTTATACAAGGTTTTAGGTACTGGCTCATTCGGCAAAGTCTTTTTAGTAAAGATGAAAAATAGCTAAAACATAAGCAGTCTTAAGTATGCAATGAAGGTTATCAACAAAGATAAATTAAAACTGCAAAATGATAATCATGAATACATGAATAGACAAGTTCAAAGTAAATTCATTCTATATTTCAACTATGCCTTAGGTGAGAAAGAATTACTGCAATCATTTGAAAATCCATTCATAGTGAGGATTTATAAAACTTTTGAAGATGATGAAAATCATTACTTCATTATGGATTATCTGAGTGGAGGAAGTCTAGATCAAATCCTTAAGAATGAAAAATAGCTTTTAAACAATCAAGTCAAATTTTATGTAGCCTAAATTGTGATTGCATTTCATTATTTGCATTCGATGGGAATCATTTACAGAGACTTAAAGCCTGAGAATATTGTATTAGATGATTAGGGCTATTTGAAAATAACAGATTTTGGTATTGCCAAGAGAGGGGTTTAAGGTTTAAAGAAGTCATATACATTCTGTGGGACAACTGAGTATCTTGCTCCAGAATTTTTAAGATAAAAAGGGCACAATAAGTCAGTCGATTGGTGGTGTCTAGGAATTCTTATATATGAACTTCTATCTGGAGAGTCACCATTTATGTCCGAGAGAAAGAATAGATAAAAGCTTTTTAATGCTATACTAAATGTAAGAATACTTTAAAAGTAAAAAAACTCAATAATAGAGTCCAATAAAAAAGCAGAGCTAATTTAGTGAGCAATCATGGGAACTTATTTAAAGCTTACTGCTAAGGGATCCTACTCTCAGATTAGGTGGATCTAAAAGAGATGCTCTAGACATAATTTAGCATCCTTTTTTCGATGGATTTGAATGGGAAAAATTGATAGCAAGAGAAGTCAGACCTGAATATATACCTGATAACAGATAATCTCCTTAAAATGTTGAAACCTTAGTTGATGATCTTGATTCTATGTTGCTCAATCAAAATGATAATAGTTCAAAATTGCATGTTAGTTATGAAGCACCTTTAAAAGTGTCATTATCAAGCAAATAAGACATTTTCAAAGATTTTTCAACATGAATTTAAAAACTAAATTTGATAGGGAAAAAAAACATATCCAGATAATAGTCTATTGATTAGGTCTGATTTTAATATCTAACTTATTATCATAATAAACATTTTAAGATTATTCTAAATTTTAAAACACATTTAATTTCATTAAATAAATAAGGGATCAATTATAATTTTTTAACTTATCATAACATGAATTTAATGGACAGTTAATAAAATTTGTTAAGAATCAAATCTCAAAAGTCTATTCGACCATTGACATCATAGAATAAAAATTCTAATGACAATCTACTATCAAATTATCCACCTAAACCAGCAGTGTTGAAATTAGGGAAATCTACATCAGAGAGAACATTTGAAAATCCCTTGAATAGAAATGCCAAAACATCATAGCCAGGAGAGAGATTAAAAATTCTAAATAAACACTCAAGAACGAGCTCATCAGCTAGAAACCTTAATAAAAATGGACCAGAACCATTGATTCCTCATAAATTGCCCTGCTTAATGCCAGAGGATGATGAAGTTTTTGCTGATCCTTAAAAATTTATGGAACTACCCTACTCTAGGCCTAAAACTGGCTTTAGATTGGAATAAGAATAGTAATTTAAGAGATAAACAATAGGACTAAGAGATAATATTTTGGATGTAAAGGATCTTGTAAAGAATTTAATGAGAAGTAAACCGAAAGGATTTAAAGATATTAAGGATTTGGATAAATACCTTAGAAGCAATAGAATTGAGATTCAAGATCCTTTTCAGTATATGGTATCACATTATTTGAAATTTTAAGCATAATTATAGAATCCTAACAGGAAATATATCGAGAATATGAAATAGAAATATTCAACAATGAATACTAATCACATGAGGAGAAAAGAAACCATTTAGAGGCAATTGACTCGTAGAGGAACGGTATTCAGACCATCAGGCACAATAAATATACTCTCTGATTTAAATCAGAATCATCAAGAGAATTATAGTTTAAATGCCACTGGCAATCATGCCAGAATGCCTTCTAACATCTGTGGAGCCTTATCTAATTCAAATATGTAAAGCTTAAAATAGCCAATGGTCAGTAATTTCTTAAGTGATACAGACTTCATAGATATTAAGAAAAAATTCTATAAAATACTTGTTCGTTGATGACTCAAATTCTAAAAGACTCCAATGTTCTAGAGGAGTAAAATTAATAAAATAAAGAATGCTTTTTAGATAAAGTCTCCTATTAATTGAATTAATTTCTTAAGAATTTACTTTTTTAAATAAATGCATGACGGGGTTTTGGGGTTTTGGGGTTTTGGGG